AATACCACATAAAGAATGGGGCGTGTAATAAATTACATCGAAAGTAGATCAACCGATTCGGGGGAAAGTTGAAAACGAAAGGTGGTGGGGGTGGTGGTGGTGGTGGGGGTGGTATAGATTTTTTTTTTCTTTCATTTCCTCCAGCAAATTTATTTAAAATTTAAAATACTCGACACGAAAACCGTTGGGTTTTTTTTTTTTGTTCGAAAGGAATTTTCGCGAAAATGGTTGTTGTCTCATTCGAACAATTCAACTCAACGATTTTCACCTATCGTCATCGTCATCATCATTAACATTAACATCGTGCAAACCTGAACCAATGTAAAATTAATTAATCTAAATTAAAGTCGGTTATGTAAACTACGAAACGATTTTTCTCGGATTTAATGAAACAAGTCCGACTCATGCGTGCATACATCACCCACACTTCATTCCCAAAGGCGTTCGTCGTTCTCAATTTTTTTTTTTTTGTGTTCAATATCAAAATGGATATCGCGTCACCATCATCATCATCATTCATCTTAACCTACCACCGGTTTACATAAAAATTATTTAACTTTTCCATTTTTTTTTTTTTTTTTTTTTTGGGGGGCCGTAGACATGGACGAAGAATGTTTTCCCGCGATATCATTAAACACAGCCACGGGACGATGTCAGAGTAAAGATGGTAAAATAACACCAGTTTCGATAAAGGACGAACCACTTAGTTGTCCCGCAAGTCCAGAATCGTGTCCAATGTCACCGGATTCGTCAGATTCTTACGTTCAAAGGGTAAGTGATCCCCCTCCCCCTTTTTTTTTATTAACCCCCCCCTTTAATAAAATAAAAAAAAAATTTCTTATTGTACAGACGAGAAAACCCATGTTAAAACCTTGCGGTCAAAGCGTTCTCAAACAACCGGCATTGCTGTTGCCGAGAGGAGTTTATTCAAAGTTAAATATTAAATTAGAACCTGGCACAGGTACGTAAATTATTTCATTCGAAAAAACAACCGATACCTTTTTTTTTTTTCTTTTCGAAACAATTTTAACGGGGTTTTTATTATTTAAATAAAAAGGTTTTACATTACCTCCGACTCCACCTTCATCGACCACCAGTGACAGCGAGAGTATTCCTTCTGAATCGACAGAATTGAGAAGAAATTCAAGAGTGTACCTGTCATCCTCATCCCGACAACCAATACACACTCCACTCATCAGTAGTCAGCCTGTAAGAAACAAAAAAAAAATTTTTATTATTTTATTCTGCTCAACGACAACAATGATAATAATAATAATCTTTTTTTTTAAAAATTACAGAAAGGATCAACCGGGATATTAATGTTAACGGAAGAAGAAAAAAGAACTTTAATGGCCGAGGGTTATCCAGTACCTACTCGTCTTCCACTAACAAAACAAGAAGAAAAATCACTTAAAAAAATCAGGAGAAAAATTAAAAATAAGGTACGAGAGAGAGAGAGAGAGAGAGAGAGAAGGAGAGACTTGATAGAGGGAGGGAGAGAGAAAAAAATAACAAAAAAAAAAAAATTATTTTACATTTGATTATTTAGATCTCAGCACAAGAAAGCAGAAGGAAAAAAAAAGAATACATGGACACGCTTGAAAGAAAAGTTGAAACACTTCAGTCTGAAAACGCTCAATATAAAAAAAAATTAGACACTTTAGAAGATGACAATGCCTCACTTTTGTCTCAACTTCAAAAATTACAAGCGACTTTAGCTAGGAGGGGTGGTTGTGGTGGTGGTAGCGGCGGCGTTGGAGAATCATCTTTTATCACGGTAATTTATTATCATTAATTACACCATACCCCGACTCATTACCCCCCGATTTATATTGATGATTTTATTTTTACAGTCGCACCAATTGGGTACTAGGAATGGTAGCATTAAATAACACGAAAAGAAATCAAAAATAATTTTTTTTTTTTTTTTTTTTCTTTAACGGAAAAAAAAGGGTAAGAAAAACAATATTAATTACTTCCCCCTACCCCCTACCCCCCCCTACCTAATAATAAAAAATTCATTTTTTTATAGTTTGTGTTTAGGTGAAGGGTTTTCTCTAGACGATCTTTGTTGTTGACGCCGCTAGTTTTCCACAAAAAAAAAAAAAAAAACATTTTAAAAATAAATGAAAAAATGATGTTTAAAGAAAAGACACAAAAGAAGGCATTTTGGGAAAAAAAAAAAAAAAAAAGGTTGACAGTTTAAATTTACACAATCAAAAACAAAAACAAAAAAATAAAAAAATAAAAAAAAGTTTAAACATTTATAAATAAGTTTAAAAAAAAAAAAAATATATATATATATAAACGTCGTCGTCGACGTCATCATCGACGTCATCGTTGACGTCATCGTCCTAACACATCGAAAAGGGGCTCACACATTTATTAAAGGGAAGTTTTTATTCCATTTAAATTTAGTTAATTAGTTAATTAGTTTTAATATAAATGAATTTTTTTTCATCTT